GTGCTCAATTTCAACAGCATTCTCTAGAGTCCTTGGATTTGTCTTTCAAATTCCGAGAGATGTTTATTATATCATTGGTTTTTTGCCATTATAACAGAAGAAAAAGCTGCGATGCAAAAAGAGTAATGAAGTAGTTTCTGCATAATGACGCTCGTACTAGAAACTTTATTTTGAATACGTATCATGACCTGTCTTCCATTTCAACTCAATGGGCTTTGTTTATCGCGGCTACTGAAACACATGTTCCAGGTGAAATTCCCATCACATTTCTCGAACGAACTGAAAGATCTGCTGAAGAATCTGCTTCAAGTCGATCTCACAAAGCGCTTCGGAAACTTGAAAAACGGCGTCGCTGACATCAAGAACCACAAGTGGTTCGGCAGCACTGACTGGATCGCCATTTACCAACGGAAGGTAACGGCATCACTGCGGACTGCCTATCAGTCATATATTCTCTTACTAACTGCACGAATACTATTCTGTGCTGGTCCCGTTGGGCTATCTCCACGGCTGGCGATCACCGCCTATCCATACAGTGGTGCTTTTCATGCATGATGTTTTGTTTGCTTTCTTAGATTTAGCTCGGCAAGCGACTTCCTTCATATTTCTGGTAATTTGACTAGGAGATACTCATGCCCTCTTGAGTTTTCAAATAAGTCCAACATACACGTTGAAATACATAAATACATCATTTAAACAGACATATAGGAAAAATCATTTTCAAAAATAAGAGGATTGAATTGTGGCAAATTTCGCTCATATTCTTGCGTTGGTAATGCTGCTTTTGGATTAACAATGTTAAACTTACACATTTTCCAATTTCAAACCACTAGTTAATTTGTAAATTTGGAATTCTAGGTTTTTTGACTGGCTAGCTTTTGAGTTCTTTTGAATTTGCTCTGAAAATAAGAAGATGCGAGTCCTTTCACACCTTTGTAGATCAAGCGCTGCGCATAGGTTTTAAGGAATATTGTGGTATTCGTTCTGTTCGGCTTACTTCCGAGAACGTAGGAACTTTTTGATTTACATGAATCATTTAAACAGATATGTAGGAAAAATCATTTTCATAATAAGAGGATTTGAATTGTAGCGAATTTCGCTCATATTTTTGCGTTGGTAATTCTGCAGCGAGATGGTAAGAAAAGAACTTGACTTAGTTTAGAGAGTCAAATAAGTTCTAGTGTCGTTTCACTAGTGCTGATGAGTCTCGTTCCCAGAGTCAGTCTCTAAATCTAATCATATCCGGTTGTTTTTGATATGAACAGAATACAAGGCAGACTGAAAAGTTAGATACCACGTATAGAAAGTAGCCTTCAAGAAATTTGTGCTTTTTCAACGAAGTGCTTAAATTCTTATGCGGAAAGTTTAAATTGAAAATAAAATTTATAAATTCTCAAAATACCCGAACTATACTGAAATTCCCCTTGAAATCTGTGAGGAAAATCGCTTGCCGACCTAATCCGTTTTGTGATTGCTTGTGTGTAGATTACTCCGGCGTCGTTCTCGAAATGCGAGCCAGGCCGACTGTTCGAAGCCCTGTATCCGCGCGTCGAAGGGCCTGCTGATACTCGTCATTTTGTCGAAGAAGTGAAAGAAGAGGAGAATTGGACAATCTCCGAAGAGAACCATTTCGCCGAGCTTTTCGCCGATTTCTAAGGTTACTACTCTCTCTCCACCTACTCTCCCTCGTTATGAAACTTCAAGCAAGCCAGCGCAGAGTTGTATGGCGCAGTTGTTGTGTGCATGCTTTTTTTCAAGTAAGATTACTTCTTTTTCGGGTAGTCTGTTGCTTTTCTATTCTGTCGCCCTGTCAGCATGATGCGAGTTTGGGTTCTTTTTT